TAGTTGCTCCCACAGGTCTCCCAACAACCCTGACACATGCAGTGTGAAAAATCCCCTGAAGTACAGACACTATCTCCCTCCAATCTCACAACTGACAATGATGGAGGGAACGTTCTTCTTGGCCTGGTACCAGAATTGTCAGCGTGGGATCTCTGCCAACTCAGCAGACATGTAAGTACATGTAAGATGTATGACATGAGTTTGATTAGAAGATAAGGCTGTCAAAGGCACTCCACATGTATCTCACGTAAAAACCCTAGAGCCATAGTAATGTTGTGACAATGCAATACACATATAACATCTTAAAACTTTCTTGGCGTACTGTAAATACAGAAACTTTTGCGGTGGTTTTACTTTGTAGGTTTTTCCTGGGACCTATAATTATACCATGTATGTGTTTCACAGTTATACAGTATTGCAGAATTGTTTCCAACCAAAACTTTGAACACTGTGAAAACCTGAAAAGACCTGTTACAGTTAAATGATACCACTGCAAAAGTACATGCATTTACGGTATATGGAAAGTGACTGCAATATCAGTAAATCTGTGGAACTTTAAAATTGATTCTGTTTCTCACTATCTATGAAAACAGCCCGGAGCGTTCACAATGTTCTGTTAGATTGTCGCCATAAACTCTTGGCATGATGACAGGAGCAGTTTTCAGCAGTGTTCTCACATCTCTGGGGGGTGCTCAGAAGACGCATGTGCCTGATATTGGTTTTTCTCTATCATACCCTGAAGACTGTATGTGTGTCATACCTCTGTCATGAGATCTACCTTAAGATTTCCTTTGAGATCAAAGTTATATTGTATGCACATACATGTACATGGAAGTAACGTTGTGTTACATGTACATCTATTACACGTATGTCAACCCAGTTTTTGCCTCGTGGGCCTTTTTAAAGTTGCATACAGTCAAAGAAAGAATTTTTAGAATGCATACTTACATCAAAACTTTTAATAAGGAATAATTCATCAGATTACTTATAAGGAGTGTTCCCAAGCAGCATTTGTAACTCTTCTCCCATTGGATCTGTTAGTCTTGATTTTTAGTGAGTTCAGCTTGATTGGAACATTTATGTTTCCGACTTACTGAGAAGTCATGGCGTTCCAGTAACTCAAACTTAGTACAGTGGTCTTGTAGTGTATGGTCTCTTAGCACTGAGCAAATTTGTTTTAAGTTCTAGATGATAGAATCATTATGTAACATTTCTAAAACCCATCTCCTTCAGTTTCAAGTCTGATGTTTTGATTTACTTCTAAAACTTTAAGTCAATATCTCATACGAATGCTGCACATGTTCCAATATCTGAAATCACTCCCTTTAAAAAAAACCCTAAGGGCATTTTCCCTTTCTTCTATAGAACATCATTAATCAAATCCACAAAGTAGAGGAAATCTTTAATACTCATTCCTTCACGGTGTCTTGTAGACATACCTGATATTTCCCCCAAGATTTTAGACTGTTCCTTGATATTTGGAATCCCGGAAGGATTTCTGCCCAGCTGCTACAAAGTCGTTGCAATCATTATCACATTAATCTGTTACTCATTCCTTCATAGAGTCTTGTAGACATGCTTAAACAATATTTCCCCGAACATTTCAGACTGTTTTTTGATATTTGGAATCCCTGAAGCTTTCTTGCCCAGCTGCTGCAATGTCGGTGCAATCATTATCACATTAATCCTGATCTGTTGTCCCTGCATGGTGCCGCCGATAAAATTTCCTGCACCTCTGGGCACTCAGTGGTGCTTGAGATTGATTCAGCTGTACAGGGTACACTGACACCACCATAAAACATTCATGGGGGGTGGTAGAAATACTTTTTTTCAGTGTTCTACAATATTGCAGAATGTCACAATATTGTTCTGCAATTTGGAAATGCTTTCTGCAGATATACACTTTTAATTTAAGCCCTGACTCAAAGCCATACAAAATTGCACGTTGGCAAACATGTTACATGCAATTTGAAAATGCATGCATAACTAGTACATGTCATAAAGTCAGTAGTAAGCACAAAAGATCCTAAGCAATTATTATATACTATATAGACACAATTGAACCCCTATCCTGATTTATTCAGTCTGCAAAATTGCAAGTTGCTTGATTTTTCTTCTGTAATATTGTCAGTGAGTCTGCAAAATACAGACTGCAGATGGGTATTTCTAACACTGCCAATATTGCGTGTGACAAGTTCTTCTGGAACCAGAGAACATATTGCTAATCAAAAAGTCTGCCAAAAGCAGCTTAGCGCTGACGTCCAAGATGTATATTAAGCTTAATCTAGATTAATTGCAATAATACCTATCTAAATCTAGATTACTCTACAGCTCAGTTGACTTGTGTTTCTGACAGCGGGGCTCTCAACTGATAAAGTATTGATGATTTGTGTTGCCTCACAAGACATATAAGCAATAAAACTGTCAATCAGAAATTTTATGAGCTGCTCTTATGACAAAGATGAACACTCTTTGAAGGAAATATCGATTAGTAATTCCTTACCACTGCGTTTATGCCTGTGTGACATGTTACACATACTTGTATTTAGTACATAATTATACAGTTTTACGCCCTCCTAGTAAGCTATACGCTCTTAAATCTAGCCTTGACAAGGAAACACCGCATGTAAGGAAATCTGCATGAAATGGCCGTGACGTCCTCTATGAGATAAAAGCATACAGTTGGAAGAAGAAATATGTTACATGTACTTGTAGTTAGTACACGTACATGTAATATACAGTATTATGCCCTCCCAGTAAGCTATACGCTCTTAAATCTAACCTTAACAAAGAAACACCACATGTAAGGAAATCTGTGTGAAATGGCCGTGACGTCCTCTATGAGATAAAAGCATACAGCTGGAAGAAGAAATATGTTACACGTACTTGTAGTTAGTACATGTATCATGTAATATACGGTTTTATGCCCTCCCAGTAAGCTATACGCTCTTACATGTAAATCTGGCCTTAACAAAGAAACACCACATGGAAGGAAATCTGCGTGAAATGGCTGTGACGTCCTCTGTGAGATAAAAGCATACAGTTGGAAGAAGACGTGTGACAGCCTATTTGTCACGCCACCTCCGCACCTTTAGCTTTACAGAGAGACTGTTATATTATGATATATGGCCTGCACCTTTATACATACAGAGAGACTGTTAAATTATGATATATGGGCTGCATTAGATTCTCCAGACCACAGACAACAAAGCCTGAAACTTGAGCATATCTGCCAAGTTCAGGAGCGTTTCTGACAGCCTTTCCAGAACCATGCCTGAAGCAAAGCTTTAAGTAAGGATGATACATGAATGTACAGACTTCAAACACCACTGCCATAGTTTAAACGTCTGCTTTTTATTGATTTCAAAGTCATGCAAATCAGGCGATGGAAGCTTCTGACTCTGAGTCTGAGCTCATGAAAAATTGTCCTGAATACAAGAAGAAACTCATGCATTATTACCCATACATATGTAGGTGCGGAGCAAAAAAAAAAAAATTGGTCACATCTAGAAGATATACTTCATGTATTATTCAATCTGCACTGAACTGTTCAAACTGGAGTTTGAAGGAGTAGGGAAATCTGTTTAAAAACAGGAAACCAGAGATTTTAGACCTCCAAGAAGTGTTTTGGGCTTTCATGAATCAGTATGGGAGCTGTGGAGGGAATTGTACTGTCATCAGATATTACACAACTGAATTCCCCACACATATTCCTACTTTAGCCTTTTGACTTCTTGTCATATCGCATATGGCATGTAAGTCTCCTGTCTTGTGGGCTGATGCAATGTCTGGAACTCAAACACAAAAACCCAACCCATCAAAAATCTGCACAGCCCAAAACAATACTTCCAATCCCAGAACCAAGCCTTCAAATTGGTGTGGTCTAAAGACAAAGCAGAGGGCCTTGACATATTGGTGATACTCCTGCAACCTTCCCAAAAGGTCCTGCCTGTAGGGTAATGGTGGAAACACTGGCCCTGTGATGCTGTCAACATCGTATTGATTTCTGCTATAAATTTATAAATCCTGCCACAGCTGTCCAAGATGAGTAATGACAGTCTAACTTACAAGTAGGTAGGTCTGCAAATCTACAAATTGTACATTTAGTGATATAGTACAGTTATAATACCTACTTACATGTTGTATGTAGGTTTTAGTGTATCAGATTTTGATTTACATTTCAATCCACAGGCATAGGGGAGTCATCAATATGAATGTGATGAGTTAAGGTCTTGCAATCGGACTGGACAGACTGGAACTGAGCAACTGAATTATAAATGGTCTAAACTGTACCTGTACAAATTGTCTCGGGTAAACAGTCGATCATTTAGATTAGAGGGCCTTCAGTAGTACTAGTACTACATGCAGTGGTTTTGTACTACATGTAGATTTTTACCAGGGATAGCTAGTATACATATACATGTACCCTAAGTTACAAATGTACTATACCACTGGACAGAAAAATTATGGTAGATCTAAGGATTATGTTGGATGATTACATGTAGGTCACTATCACTATGTGTCTTAAACTAACATTGTTTTTGCTCCCTGTAATTTTTAACTGACTCTGAAAACCTGGCTTAATAAAACAATCTTGACAGAAAATTTGAGTTCAGTGCATAAAATGAAATAGGACCTGCCACTGACCCTCTATAATCTAATGTTACATGTATTACTATACATGTGTGAAAATTTGATTATCGTTGATACCTTTTATAATCATGAATAATCACCTCTACCTTGTGTCAGGTTCATTTATGGTAAAACACATCTACATGTAGTGAACTGTCCTTTCATGTTCATTAATATTCATTTAAGTCAAGCTAAAAAAAAAGGATCCTAACACCCCCTCTAAATGAATCCAAATGGTTTCTTCCTCATGTAAATCTCACCGCAGCAATTGAGCATGTCAAGCGAATTAACAGTATCAGCCAGGTAGCCCTCGGCCAATCACGGCACAGCAGGCCGAAGCGTGACGCGTGGCTCTCCCCGTGTGCGTGCACTGCTCCGGCAGACTCCAACGCTACACGCCGTCTTTCTGAGAAGTCACAGTAGACATCGGACGGTGTACTGTACAGCAGGCAGCTGGCTGAGTCTGGTACACGTACATGTATGCTACAGGTGCTGAACAAGCAGTCTGGTAAGCTTGCCTTTCTCTGTTTTAATATTATCAATAATACAATCTCACATGCATGTAATTCAGCCATCTAGGATATGTACAGGAAAAATCTTGCAGCTTTTCCAAAAGGTGATGTTTTGATAAATTTGTCACTCCCGTAACAGGTGCTGAACAAGCAGTCTGGTGAGCTTGCCTTTCTCTGCTTTATATCAATAATATCAATACACGCATGTAATACTGCTATCTAAATGTAGGAAACCAGGGAAATTCTTGTTTTTTTCAGTGTCTTTGTGGGTGATGTTTTGATGAATTTGTCACGGATATAGGGGAGTCATCAGTAACCAGTAATCGTTACCAGTCTATTTGGCCATAAAATATCATAGTCAATAAAAGGGCAATTAGTACAGTAGAAGCACAAGGGTTTCTCATATACACATATGTATATATCTGTGTATTCTGGTAGTACAGGAGAACAGCAAATACTCCCATCTGTTGAATGGACGATGTTGTGTGCATATGAGATCATGAGATCTTGGCCTGTGTGTGGGACGGCATGAATTTAGGCTGTGTCTCAGCTGACCATGCTATGGGGAATTTTTATGTCTAGCTGATTACCCGGCAATATGGTGATTTTGCACGGCACATGATTTACACTGACACGCAATGCAGGCCAGGGACGGGGGTTAGTCATAAAGGCACGCAGAAATGCCACACTGCTTCTAACGCTGTGTGATATCATTGTGGCATGACAAAGGAGGATGGCTGGAGCATAGCATGCGGTCTAGCTTGGCTATCCCCACAGAAAAAATGTCACTAAAAAGACGCAGAACTTGCCATAAAATGCAAAAATGAGCTGGCAGTGATAACACTGTGTGATATCATTGTAGCATGACAAAGGGGGAAGGCTGGAGATGCGTACAGTGAATAGAAACGTGGTTAGAGGGGATCAAAAAAGCACAGTAATGGAGGAGATTGGGACCTATTGTTTGGCTCATTATGGCAGGAAATTATATGCGGATAAAGCAATCAAGTCTTGGCTAGCTGGGCTCGAAATCCTTTTTTCTCCACATGTGCAGGAAACATTGAAAATTACCTGCACCAGACAAATTTCATATACACCACTCAGAAAAAATAATAAGGAGCATGCATATGGATGATACTAAAACTGTTCAGAAACCATTACCACTGTTTCTTTTACATTTAGATGGTGGTAACAGTCAATACAGCAAATAAAAATCTTCATGCCAGTGCAGCTTACATGTAGGTGCAGATAGATATGACAAATACCTGCACAGCTCCAATTTTACCTGCACTAACCTGCACATACCCAGTACATGGACCAGTACAGGTTAGGTGCAGGTGTTTTTTTCCTGGGTACAGAAGATCTAGACTAGAGGAGGCTGGAAAATGGTAATTGTGTTAGACAAAGATCAGCCAGGAAATAGAGAAAGACAGTTGATTCTATCACAGGAACTAGGCTTCCAGCCAGGTTATTTGTTTGGTAATTGCAAGGAGATTACAGGGATATCATTAGCTCCATCATCGCTCATCATACAAAAGAGGTGGCAACTGAAGACAGGTAAGATTGGGAAATTGTGTGTTGTACGAGATAGCGTTCAGTATCAGAGAAGCAAGCACTCGTTGTGCAATCATATATTGGAGTACGATAGGATTATCACAGGGAAGGGAGGCACTGTACTATGAAATGGCAAATTTGAATCAGATATATATATAGGTTTCGGCTTTCATACCTGTTTACCAAGAGGGATAGATAGAACGCACTGTACTGTAAAATGGCAAACGCTACTCCTATAGCTTTATTAGAAGATAGAGAAAGCAACGTACTGTAAAATGGCAAATTTGAACAAGATAGATTTATCAAAATGGTAGAGGAGGCACTGTACTGTTAAATGGCAAATTTGAATATGATAGCTTTCTCAAAAGGTAGAACAAGCACTATGCTGTAAAATTGCAAAATCATATAGGATAGCTTTATCACTAGGAGTAGGAGGCACTGTGCTGTAACATGGCAAATTTGAATAAGATATTATATAAAGCTAGATCAAAACATAGAGGAGGCACTGTACTGTGAAATGCCAAATTTGGAATTAATACATGTAGCTAGCAGTGATCACTTGGGACAGGAAGCAGTCTAGAATGGGAGGTTTAGCTTCACTGTGATTTAGCACAAGGGACAAAGAGCACCATATAATGGCCAACTACTCTCTATAGAATTCAGTGGTAGGGACAAAAGACTCTGTCAAATGGCCACTTGAACAATATCTCATTCTTCACCAGGGACAAGTAATGAGCAAAGAAGCTATAAATACTGAAGAAAGGACAAAAGTGAGCCCTGGAGCTAAGGCCTGTAAGAACTGTTGCTTACGCAAAAGGTCAAAATTCACTCATGTGAAACACGTAAGACATATGATACATCAGTAAGACAAAACCAACATCTGGATAAACACAGTATTTTCTTTCAGTAAGAAAGCAAAATGAAACAAAGAAGGAATTTGTAAGATGAATAAAAATAGCCACAAATATTAAGCACAACACATTTTGTAGGATAAACTGAAATGGAGACCTTTTCAGTACCAAGGTCAGGGATACTGCAAATGAATCAGTTTTGTCAATAGAGTATTTGGTACTATTGAAATAACCTTTACAGATACCAGATACAGCTAGATAGTATTCAACACATAGACGTAGATAACATTCAGCACCAAGGACAGACCCAATGTCAACTTCTACCAGGCAAAATTACTCTCTGCCTATGCATGTTGTTTTGCCTTTAGAACCCAGAATTTGGAATTTCTTCCAGCAGAAGCTTACTTTTCTGCTTAAACAAGGTGGAAATTGTAATCTAAAGAACACAAAATGATTATTTCAGCAATTCAATTTTCCATGTTGTTACTTTAAATTGTGTAAGTGATTGACCAGGATTCCAAAACACCCCAAATCTCAGTTCTGCTTTACATCTAATACACTGCAAGCCTGTTGCAAAAAGCATTTATATAACGATTATGCATTAATGGAACATACTAATACATTTTCCATTTCACAATTATCGAGCGGCAAAGCTATAAAACCCTTGACACAAATACATAACGCAGGCAGCCACATGGTCCAAATGGAGGAATATAACTGCCCCAACTGTCACCTGGGCTCGAAATTCATTTTTGGAAATAAGTGCACCAGTGCACCCAACCTAAAAATTGGGTGCACAAAATATCTTTTGGGTGCACCATATAAAACAAAACATAATTACAGATCTTATTGCTCCTCTTCTGAGCTTGAATCGAAAATGGGAAATAACTTCAAAATCTTAAACAAATACTACAATAAAGGTTTTATAATTTGTCTGACACTTAGATGCCAAGAATATCCTGTACTATCATACATTTGATATGTACAAAAATACCTACAAAAATATGTGGATGCACCAGTGCACCCAGAGAAAAATTGGGTGCACAGCTCCAAATTTGGGTACACTAAGGTGCACATGCACCCAGTATTTCGTGCCCTGCACTAGTCCAAATGGAGGCATATAACTGCCCCAACTGTCACTATCAGTCTTGCTTTAGTAGAACTTACAGAATGGTACACTACTCAACACCTATCAAGGTACCATTTGGTCGTAAATAATTTACATTGCACACTTAGGGGGAATTGGGAGTATTACATATATGGGTGCATTACCTTGATAAAATCTTTGCCCTTGAATGCATTTAGAGAATCTAATGGCATCTGAGCCCTTAGCTGTACTGATTTGGCCCAGGGATCTAAAACGATTAAACCACAAGAGAAATCCATTATTGATTAAGAGGGGGGCACGAACAAAGCACTACCATATTTCTCTCTTGCCCAGAAAGAAATAAATAATTAAGAGAACAAAGAATTGGACAGATAGCAGAACCCTGCAAAACTATGCATAAAGAAGATTGGCCATACATTACTTATGAATTTTTAAAAATTTGAGGAACCTTAGGTCCTGGGGGGTTACAATCTCCGTGATTAAGTCTTATATTGTTATAAGGCAGGGCTCCAAATCCTTTTTTTTTTTGCATACATGTACCTGCACTGGTGTATGGATCATAATATAACTGTTCAGAAACAGTATTTCATTTATACACATGTACTTCTTACGTGGTAAGTCATTGCAGCAAATAAAAATCCACACACATCATGCTATATGTACCAGTGCAAGTAGGCCTCAGAAACACCTGTACAGCTCCAACTTAACTGCACTAAGGTGCATATGTATGCACCCAGCACTTAAGCCCTGTAATGGTAATACTTTAAACTGTCTCAGACATGCACCTCCAGTTAAGACATACACAGTTACTAAGACACCTTAGCACGCCTGGTTCTGAGTGCTGCCAGGTCAGACGCTGAGAGAATCCTAAGTTAAGACCTTCACCGACACCCTTAGAAACTGGGAACGTCTTACAAATGTACCTCGAGGTGCATGTCTTAGACATTCTAGCACGCCTGGTTGTGAGTGCTGCCAGGTCAGACACTGAGAGAATCCTAAGATTAGACCTTCACCGACACCCTTGGAAACTGGGAACGTCTTACAAATGTAACTCGAGGTGCATGTCTTAGACATTCTAGCACGGGTGGTTGTGAGTGGTGCCAGGTCAGACACTGAGAGAATCCTGAGATAAGACCTTCACCGACACCCTTAGAAACTGGGAACGTCTTAGAAATGTAACTCGAGGTGCATGTCTTAGACACTCTAGCACGCCTGGTTGTGAGTGCTGCCAGGTCAGACACTGAGAGAATCCTCAAGACAAGACCTTCACCGACACCCTTAGAAACTGGGAACGTCTTACAAATGTAACTCGAGGTGCATGTCTTAGACATTCTAGCACGCCTGGTTGTGAGTGCTGCCAGGTCAGACACTGAGAGAATCCTGAGATAAGACCTTCACTGACACCCTCCATTTATCAGCCTGCATAATTCATGATGGTTAACTCTCGAGGGGCAGTATCATCGCTGAGGCCTAGGAAAAAAAATGTTGTGTTTCCTGTTTCCCGACTGACCCTAGAAAAACCTGCCAACCCTGGACTTTTTTGGGGGTGGACCCCTGCAAGGGACATATATTTTTGAGGTGATCAACATTTCCTAGCTCCATGATCTGATACCTGAGCGATAAAACGTTGTACAATTGGTTTTCTACC